CAGCATTGGCAAAGCTCCCAAACGAGTGGGGTGAATGTCCTGGGTAGGGCAGTCCTGAGAAACTGCACCCAGTGTGTGTCTAACAGGCACAGTCTCACTTAATCCTCATCAGTGGGATTATTATATTAGTTTTAATTCAGAGGCCCAGAAGTTGAGAGACTTAAGAAACCTCCCAAACTTATAGGGACAAGTTGGTTCTATAAACCCCATGTGTCTGAACAAAGCAAGACTCTGAATCAGGACACCAGACTACTTCCCGACATCTCCAGGGCTTCCTGAGGAAGACTTCCTCCATGTTCACCCCCATCAGGAAAGTCCTGCAGAGCCCTCTGGAGAACCAGCTTCGGGGTCTGCCTTTGCCCCCTCCATCGCTGCCTAAAGGAGCCAACGAAGAAGTAAATGATGGGGTTGGCACAGCTGTTGACACAGGACAGCACATGTGAAACCAGAGGAGGGGGGAACACATATAAACCTTTTTTAATCCAGTATACTAGGAACCAGTGGATACCCCAGGGCAGGCCACAGAGGAGGAAGACCAGCACTGTGAGCAGGACAATCACATATGGCCTGGTCAGCGGCACCCGCTGGGAGCCACACAGCAGTCTGGACACCAGGACCAGGCTGGAGCCTGAGAGAAACACAAACAAGAAAATCAGACACCCAGCAGTGATCAAATCAAATACTTGACACCAGACCTTATATAAATGGCTAAAAAAGAAGTCACAGTAGGTCCTTTCAAGGATGCTCAGCAGCAGGGACAGGGCCCAGAGCAGGGCACACATGACAGCCGACATGTGTGTGGGGCGGTGGCAGCGGTACCAGATGGGCCACAGGACGGACAGGCAGCGCTCGGTGCTAATGGCGCTGAGAAGGCTGAGGCCTGTGATGTAGGCAAAGGTGAAAATGGTGAAGAAGAAGCTGGGAGCAAAAATGGGGATGGAATGGAAGTAGTAGATGAGTGTCTGCAGAGAACGTATAATCTGGCAGCAAAGGAGGAGAAAGTCGGCTCCCGCCAGGTTGAGGATATAGACAGAGAAGGTGTTCCTCCGCATGCGGAAGCCCAGGAGCCACAGCACCACCGCGTTTCCTAG